GGTTTTCTGGCCGGAGGAACCCTCGAAGCCCAAGGTTTAGGGTTTAGGGTTTGGGGTTTAGGGTTTAGGGTTTTGCGTTCAGGGTTTCGGGTAAACCCTGGATGTTTTGGCAGCCCTCTTTTGTACCCTAAGCCTCGCAAGCTTAAACCCCAAAGCCAGGAGTTCTGCAGGGCACGCTGGCTTCGGCCCAAGGCGTTTGAGATGGCCAGGTGGGCACCATGCGGTCAGATTAGGGTTTGCAATGGTATGTGTGATCACACGAAAGATCCAAATTCGTAAGAGTAGTAGAAGATGGCGATGTTCAAGAAGTCGCGCCGGATACAGAAGGGGCGGGGTGGGGGGGGGGGGGGGTCGGCAGGCGGGTGGCCCTGAGGTGAGGCTGTCTGTATGTCAGCCCTAAACCCTAACCCTCAACCCTAAACCTAAACCCTAACCCTAAACCCCAAACCCTAAACCGAACCCTGAAGCCTGAACCCTAAACCCTAAACCCGTTTGTGAGGCAGGGTTGACAGGTGAGTGTATATTGGTATATTGTAGGTGAGCTTCATATTGCATGTCGTCTTTGGGGAGATTGGTATAAGCAACTCTTCCTTACATCCATGCAGGACAACGGCCATTGACATGTTCAAGCAGTCGTGCGAGTCCTTACGTGTGGAGGACATGCTCCGAAGTTTGGGAGGTGAGTGTTCGTACTCTTTTTACAAAGGGCGTGAGCAGGGCTCCCGAGTCTTCCCACAGTATCCCATCTTCCTTCTCTAAACTCTAAACCCTAAGCTAAACCTTAAACCCTCCAAAACCTAGATTCCCTAGATAAGGAAGGTGTGACCTTGTCTGTCCAAAGCTTTGGGCCGAACGGGACCATAATCGAGAGACTCCTTCCACGCCCTCCCCCCCCCCCCCCCCGCCCCCCCCAAGGCCTCACCCTAAACCCCTAAAACCCCTAAACCCCTAAACCCCTAAAACCAACCCCTGCCCCTAAACCCCTAACCATGAACCCTACCCCTAAACCCCTTAACCCCTAAACCCCTAAACCCCTAAACCCCTTAACCCCTAAACCCCTAAACCCCTAAACCCCTAAACCCCTAAACCCCTAAACCCTTGAACCCCTAAACCCTAAACCCTGCTTAGCACGATGGCTGTGATAGGACCCGGAGAGTTTGAAGCTGGCTGCATCAGCGACTGACCAGGCACGCGAGTTGATTGGCTTGCTATTGCTGTGCCTACTGGGTTTAGGGTTTAGGTTTTAGGGTTTAGGGTTTAGGGGCCAATAGTTCGACCCACCGACATCTAGAAGTCCTTGCACCGGTGCAGCAGGTCTTCAGGTTTCTCTTGGGCAGTTGAACCGTGTCAACATGTTCAATCCAACATGGCGCCTCAAGCGTGGCCCTCAATCTTGTCCCGAAGAAGTCAACGAGTAGGCAGTCCAAGATCTTGACCGGACCCTCTTCAATGGAGGGGTTTTCGGGGCTCGAGAGCACCAAATTTGGGCGCTAAAGTCTCATGGCCGCAAACCCTTGTAGCAGGGGCCCAGGGGTTCTCCTCGGACCATTTAGGGTTTAGGTTTTTAAGGTTTAGGGTTTAGGGCTCACGCCGCCCCCCCCCCCCCCCCCCCCCCCCCCCCCCCCCACCCCCCGAAAAAGCTCAAATTTGGTCCAAAGCGCAGGACCTGCTGCGGCTCATCCTGGCGGGCTGCTTCCTGAACATCGGCGTGCAGTGCCGAGGCCAGGGGTGGAAAGTGCTGGAGAGCGGGTTTAGGGTTTAGGGTTTAGTTTCAGGTTTAGGGTTTAGGGTTTAGGGTTTCAGGTTTAGGGTTTAGGGTTTAGGGGTTCTTTAGGGGAATAAGATTCAGGGTCCCTTCTAGGGGTCCCTCCTTGAACCCCTTTCTGGAGAGGGCGCTTGCGATGTCGGGCCCGCTTTGTGTTAAGCTCTGTGTTCTCAGTACATAGTTATCTCAACGTCTATGCATCACATGAGGACACGTGTGTAGACAGCAGCTAACATCGCCCCACCGCCTAAACCTTAAAACCTTAAAACCCTAAAGCCCTGAAACCCTGAAACCCTAAACCCCAAAACCCTAAACCCCCCAAACCTTGAACCTCAAAACCCGCAAACCCTAAAACCCTACTAAGAACCTAAACCCTAAACCCCTAAGCGCCAAGGTCCTAAGACATAAATTTCAAACCCTAAAACCCTCGAACCCTAAACCCCTGAACCCTGAAGCCCCTAAACCCCAGGCCCGAAGACCCATATAATTTGAGCCCTAAAACCCTGGAACCCTAAAGCCTAAACCCTAAACCCTAAACCCCAAACCCCAAACCCTAAACCCTAAACCCTAAACCCCGGCAATTCCCAAAGCAGCCGCCCTGATGTGAGGCTCGGGCAGCGCCCAGTCAGCGTTGTACCAGCTGATCCAGTCGCATGGCTCTGGAGGTGCACTCAGGATTTTTGGGTTTAGGGTTTAGGGTTTAGGGTTTATGCTCTCGCAGGCGCGACCATCGTCGCAGCACCATTCCCAGGACATTCGATACATCCTGGGTCATGCTGGGAGTTTAAGAAAACCCCTGAACCCTCCTGAACCCTAAACCCTAAACCCTAAACCCTAAACCCTAAACCCTAAACCCTAAACACTAAACCCTGGGCCAATATGGGGGTTTCCGAAATTAGGGGCGCCTTTTTGGTGTCCGTATTATAACGGGATCGGTAAACCCTCTCTGGATGGTTCCCGATCTGGATATGCAGCCTAGGAAAAAGATTCAGGCTTGACCCTTCCGTGTTAAGCCCCTGGCTAGCCTGAAACCCTAAACCCTAAACCCTAAACCCTAAACCCTAAACCCTAAACCCTAAACCCTAAACCCTAAACCCTAAACCCTAAACCCTAAACCCTAAAACCCTAAAACCCTAAAACCCTAAAACACTCAACCCTAAGCCCTAAGCCCTAAGCCCTAAGCCCTAAACCCTAAACCCAAACCCTAACCCTCAAACCTAACCCCTATATAATGGCTGAATCCTGCAGGATCATCGCTTGTGCGTGCCGGGGGTGCACCTCCCAGGTACGTGTGCTACACGCGCTTTGGCCTGATCCGATTATTGAGCTTATGGTTCAAGGCTTAGGGTTTAGGGTTTAGGGTTTAGGGTTTAGGGTTTAGGGTTTAAGGTTTAGGGTTTAGGGTTAGGGTTTAGGGTTTAGGGTTTCGGGTTTAGGGTTCATGCTTTCATGATTGAGTCGGTTCAGGGCCATGGTGGCACTTAAGCTCTTCATGAAATGGGCAATCTTTCCGCTTGTGAAGTTGGCTGTGGTAACATCTGCGTTGACGTTGGAGATGGACAGGTTTTCCACCCTAAGCCCTAAACCCTAAATCCTAAATCCTAAACCCGAAACCCTGATCAGTTGCGCCCCAGGCATATCATGCAGACCAGCCGCACCTTCTTGCATGGGGTCACCCTGCTTTCGGCGCAGTCGGACGCAGAGCTCGTGAACATTCTGGCGACTCGAGGGTTGCGTAGGAGCAACAAGGGGTTTAGGGTTGAGGGTTGAGGGTTTAGGGTTTAGGGTTTAGGGGGAGAAGCTAGAAGTAGCTGAAAGTGCAAGTGAGTAGAGAACAGCCTTGGTTCTGAAGCGGGCTTCGCCGACGTAACTTGAGCATCACATTCATTCACCTGTATCATGTATCTTTTTATTTAGTTTTGTCTCAGTTTTATACCAAGGTGCATGAAAAAATATGAATATAAATAGTTGCATACATATATATATATAGATCACGTATGGTTTGTGTATTTTGTATTTTGATATTTGTCTGAATGTTTTTAATAGCAGACAAGAAGTATGCATCAACATACTAAGAATGAAACCAATTATACAAATATTGATATGACTATGAACATGGGCTTGAGTGTAGGTACACACATAAATATACATGTAAACTATAAATATCCTTCGACCTATCTATTTGCTTATGTATCTCTCTATCTATCTAATTATCTGTCTGTCTGTCTATCTATCTATCTATCTAACTGTCGAACTATCTAACTATATATAATATAATGTAATAATCATAAGAATAACAATAATAAAACTAATAACAGCAATAATATTGTATATATGTCCGTATATAGAATGCCGCATACCCTGTGGAGCCTGGGAGGTGGAACATTCTCCAAGCTTCGCCTCGGAGGTCGCGGAGGCTTTGCCCAAGATCACTTCGCAACAGATCCAGGCGGAGTGGGTGTTGGTGGTTTAGGGGTTAGGGTTTAGGGTTTAGGGTTAAGGGTTTAGGGTTTAGGGTTCAGGGTTCAGGGGTTCATAGGGGTTCGACTGACTCTAGGATTTGGTAGTTTGTCTCCGTTTGGTTTGCAAACCTTCTGCGCCTTTCCGCATATGCAGGTGCCGCACTTCTCCTCCCGCATGCTTATGGGCACTCGAGCCCGGCAGTTCCGGCTGGATGTGCAGGAGTTTTTGGTTCGAACTGCGCGGGGGAGAGCGGGGGAGTGGGGTTGGTCTAGATTACGGTCCCGATCGAAAGAGTGCCTTCGCCCAGGACCGATTCGCTTGCACTTTCTTTGCTGACCTCAAGCGCCTGGCTGCAAGAACCACTTGCTTTCTTGAGCCTCTTAAACCTTAAACCCTAAAACCCTAACCCTAAGCCCTAAGCCCTAAACCCTAAACCCTAAACCCTAAACCCCAAACCCTAAACCCTAAACCCTAAGCCCTAAACCCTAAACACATGTTGTCGCGAAGCAGCATCAGGCAGGGTCTCATCTCGTGCTGGTGCCAGCCCGACCGCGCCCGCGACACGGAGTCTCGCTCATTTTTGGGACTGATCACACACACACACACGCTCTCTCCTTCTCCCTCTGTCTCCCGTTTATGTATTTACATCTACATATGCAAGAAGCATGCGGATTGACAAGCTCTGGTTGACCACCCTAAACCCCAAACCCGAAATCCGAAACCCTAAGCCCCAAACCCTAAACCCTAAACCCTAAACCCTAAACCCTAAACCCCAAACCCCAAACCCCAAACCCTAAACCCTAAACCCCAAACCCTAAACCCTAAACCTAGACCCCAAACCCTAAACCCTAAACGCTCGGTCGAAGCCTCGACCCCTCCAACTCAGGAGCGCTATCTCGTGAGCCACCGGGAGAAGCTTCTCCAGGAGGATCTCAACGAGGTGCATGCTTTGGGGTGTCGGGGTGTTGGGGTTTAGGGTTTAGGGTTCAGGGTGTGTAAAGAGTTTAGGGTTAGGGTTTAGGGTTTACGGGGTTTACAGGGTTTAGGGGGTTTAGGGGGTTTAGAGGGTTTTCAAGGTTTTCAGGGTTTTCAGGGTTTTCAGGGTTTAGAGGGTTCAGAGGGCTTAGAGGGCTTAGAGGGTTTAGGGTTCGGGGATTTTTTTGGCCAAGGTTGTTTCTTTAGATAGCAAAGGCCGCGTGTTCGTCCTCTGCCCTGCCTGGACATGACAGTCGTTTCCAACCTCGGCCTATTCCTCTGGTGCCTATAAAGGAACTGTGATTCCCCACACCCCAAACCCTAAAGGAACCCTACGCCCTGAACCCTGCACCCAACACTGAGCTACACCTTGGGATATTCCCCCTTATGCTAACAGTGCTTAGTTGGGATTATAATCGGGTACTATGATCCCTATCAAGAACTCTTAGTAAAAGCGGGAACATCCCAGGAGCTACACCCTAAACCCCAAACCCTAAACCCTAAGCCCTAAACCCTAAACCCTCAACCCTAAAAACGCATACCCTGAGGTGGAGGAGGACACGCTGGGCGGGCAGACCCGCCCAGTTTACGGACGCGGTGGGGCCCTGGTCGACATCCTTTTCCCCGGCGAGATCTTGTCGGTGCCCCCACGGAAGCTGCAGACATCTGACGAATGTGACCACCCTAAACCCTGAACCCTGAACCCTGAACCCTAAACCCTAAACCCTCAAACCTAAACCCTAAACCCTAAACCCTAAACCCTAAACCCTAAACCCTAAACCCTAAACCCTAAACCCTAAACCCTAAACCCTAAACCCTAATGTGCTGACATGTGTTTACCATGTCCTCTTGCGCCCTCATGTCCAGAGGTTGAGGTTCCTTGCAGGCTCTTCGTAAGGAATCAGGGAGTTGGCTAGCTCATATCCCTAAACCCTAAACCCTTTTCAGGGAAGAAACAAAACACATATACATATATATATATATATATGTATATCTATACATGCAAATAGGGTGCCTGATTCCTGATTTCCCTACTGGGATCCAAAAAGAAGACTCTTCAAGTAGACCCGAAGCCTTGGTACGAACCAAGCGAATGCTGGGTTTGCATGCAGGTGAACGTCATTGGCCTGCCTGGGACCACCCCTGAAGCAGACGTGCGACGCTCCTTTGAAAGGCGGCGGCTTCCCCTAAACCCTAAACCCTAAACCCTAAACCCTAAACCCTAAACCCTAAACCCTAAACCCTAAACCCTAAACCCTAAACCCTAAACCCTAAACCCTAAACCCCAAACCCTAAACCCTAAACCCTAAACCGCAGATCATCTCACTCTTTGCCGACACACAACGGCGTTGCAGGTATGGCCCTGTGCGGGCTGTATCGACCTCAACCATGGCCAGCTCGGGCGATTTGTTCTGCCAGGCCATGTCAGCTTGGCATATCCTGGAACCATAACATGCGAATGGTTGCAGCATTCTAGGGTTCATGGGGCTTGTAGGGTTCGTTGGATTCATCGGGTTCATAGATGCGCCTTCCTACGCCGTTGCACGCCGCGGAGCTTGTAGAGGGTGCGAGCTTGCATTGCCCTCCCAGCATCAGCCTACAGGCAGTGTGTAGCGCACCGTGAACACCACGGCGAACGTGCCCTAAGAATTCCTTGATCGGACTTAATCTTCCCCATAAGGAGCGTTATAGGTATGGTGCCGACTGTAATTGAGAGAGAGAGAGAGAGAGAGAGAGCGCTGGCCATATTGGAGTCTACGAACATAGGGGACCCCTAAAATAGACCCCCAAATAGTGGGATCACCTTATAGTAAAGGACCCCCCTAGTATCGTCAACCCCCCATATGGCGGAAATTGTCGAGGCCACCTACGTGGACAAAACCACAGCCAAGCGGGCACTGGAATCCTACGGACAGCAGTGCCGGGATTTGGTCGCTCGGCACGATTACTGGATGCATATCATACGAGGAGCTACCACGTTGTTATTGACATAATTAGAGACTCAGAGAGCGTGCTACTAAGTACTTGGTAGCACTCGACATCACTCGACCAGCAAGATCATGCAGAACTGCAAGCCCTACATTCCCTAAAAGTTCAATCCGCAGCCTAGGTCAAGGTGGTGCCTGGGAAGGTGCAGCAAGGCACTGGGGGACGAGGGGGATTACGAGGCTGCGACACCCTGGACAGGGAAATCAACATCTCACCTTTTCTTGTTGTTCCCCCCGCCCCCCCCGCTAAACCTTAAACCGTAACCCGTAACCCTAAACCCTAAACCCTAAACCCTAAACCCTAAACCCTAAACCCTGAACCCTGAACCCTGAACCCTGAACCCTAAACCCTAAACCCTGAACCCTAAACCCTAAACCCTGAACCCTAAACCCTACACCCTGAACCCTAAACCCTAAACCCTGAACCCTAAGCCCTAAACCCTAAACCCTAAACCCTAAACCCTAAATTTGACGGCTCCCTGACATTTTTTTAGGGCTTCCTTGGCAACACGGGCGACTCGGCATCCCCCCGGTTAAAAATCTCCTTTGACAGGACATAATACGAAACATGCCCATTCTATTTGGGGTTTTGAGGCTTAGGGTTTTAGGGTTTAGGGTTTAGGGTTTAGCGTTTAGGGTTTAGGGTTTAGGGTTTGGGGTTTGGGGTTTGGGGTTTGGGGGGCCCTTTTTGCGGGGGGGTGTTGCCGTTGCTGCGTTTGTTTCTTCCGCCACCAGCAGCTTCAAGAATCGTGTGAAAGTCCAAGGCTCCCACAAGTACGGCGTAACAGAAGGGACCCGAAAGAAGGGTTTAGGGTTTAGGGTTTAGGGTTTAGGGTTTAGGGTTTAGGGTTTAGGGTTTAGGGTTTAGGGTAATCTTGCTCCCTTACATAATGCGTATATATACCTTGTATAGCCCCTATATACCTAAGTCCCCCCTACAGAACCCGTGAGGTTCCTTTTGGTCCCTCCTTCGTCCCCGAACACGAAGGGTTGAGGGTTTTACAGTTTAGGGTTTAGGGTTTGGGGTTACGATGCTTGACTTCAAGCCGTAATGTTTTGGGGTTATAGGGGGTAGGGGTGCAGGGTTTAGGGTTATAGGTTTTAGGGTTCAGGGTTTAAGGTTATAGGTTTTTAGGGTTTAGGGTTTTGACGGTTCGCTGAGGCCAAATTGTAAATGCAGTGGCCTCAGGGAAACTCGACGTTCAAGATTCGACCCTGCGATTTTTACTCTTTCAATGTGTCTGTGGAAACCACGTTAAAAAAGGGATAGCTTGAGTAGTACACGGGACAGGGCCAAGTTCACAGGCACTAGTCACGAATCCCTACGGCCTAAACCCTAAACCCTAAACCTTAAACCCTAAACCCTCAACCCTAAACCCTAAACCCAAAACCCAAAACCTTTAAACCCGAAACCCTAAACCCTAAACCCTAATCCTCAAACCCTAAACCCTAAACCCTAAACCCCAAACCCTAAACCCCAAACCCCAAACCCTAAACCCTAAACCCGAAACCCTAAACCCTAAACCCGAAACCCGAAAAAGGCCCAGAGGTGCGAGTCGCCAGCGAGCGTCGCCAGGCCAGAACTCGTCAGCTGAGATGGGCTTCCTCACGCTGACGTGGGACTGCCCCTTAGCAGCCCAGTGGTACCCTTTTTTGCGTTTAGGGTTTAGGGTTTAGGGTTTAGGGTTTAGGGTTTAGGGTTTAGGGTTTAGGGTATAGGGTTCCCTTATAAAGTAACCAACCCAAAACAGGGTGCCCTTATTTTTTTTGTGGTTACTTGGCTACTAAGGCCCGGAGACCATGCGGAACTCAGAGGACACTCTGAGAGAGGGTTTAGGGTTCAGGGTTTAGGGTTTAGGGTTTAGGGTTTAGGGTTTGGGGTTTAGGGTTTAGGGTTTGGGGTTTAGGGTTTGGGGTTTGGGGTTTGGGGTTTATTGGTTCAGGGTCTAGGGTTTGGGGTTTAGGGTTTGGGGCTTGGGTTAAGGGTTTAGGGTCTGGGGTTTGGGGTTTAGGGTTTAGGGTTTAGGTCAAGGGTTTAGGGTGTTTAGTTCGGTGCATGTGCAGCTTGCTTTTGGGCTTTGTGGGTTTGGGATTTTGGAAGAGATTGAAAGCGGTCACTCGCAACATCCAGGTTGACGGGGTGCATGCTCAGGACGCCGATCTGAATGTCATCATGGCTGACTTGCGTCGCTTCGTGCCCTTGGTCGACACGGATCCAGTGGCTAGGCTTAAGGCTTAGGGGTTAGGGGTTAGGGGTTAGGGCTTGGGGCTTAGGGCTTAGGCTTAGGGCTTAGGGCTTAGGGTTTAGGGTTTAGGGTTTAGGGTTTAGAGTTTAGGGTTTAGGGTTTAGGGTTTAGGCTTTAGGCTTGTTTACCGCACGGTCGGGGAATCTGACTGTCGTGTTGGCAGGAAGGTGGTTCACTTTGGATACGAAGTGGTCTTTTTCTCACATGGGGGGGCTTCCGATTTTAGGGGTACCTTATTGGGGTCCTTTGAAGGAATCTTACTTGGGGTTTATATTAGGGGTCCCTAATTTTCGGAAACCGCACATGATTCGCATGAACCGTATGTCTTGCCAGCACGGGCAAGACGGCACGTGCAAACTCAGCTGTCAGTTGAAATGGCAGCACTTGACTAACAAGACAAGTTCACCAGTCTACCACGCGTTCTGCCAGTTCTCTAAACCCAAAACCCTAGACCCTAGACCCCAAACCCTAAACCCTAAAGCCTAAACCCTAAACCCTAATCCCTAAACCCTAAACCCTCAACCCTCAACCCTAAACCCTAAACCCTAATCCCTAAACCCTAAACCCTAAACCCTAAACCCTAAACCCTCAACCCTCAACCTAGATCCCCAGTTGTTGACCAAGAAGCCAGCAAAGTAACGCCCTCAGGAGATGCAGACCTTCTTCCGCCAGAAGCCTCGGGGGCTCGGGCCTTGAAGGTGTAGTTTAGGGTTTAGGGTTTAGGGTTTAGGGTTTAGGGTTTAGGGTTTAGGGTTTAGGGTTTAGGGTGTAGGGTTTAGGGTTTAGGGTTTAGGGTTTTTTCCGCAAGCATAAACCCTCAACCGTAAACCCCAAACCTTAAACCCTAAACCCTAAACCCCTAAACCCCAAAAACACTCAAAAACCAAAAAGCCATGTCGGGCGTAGAGCTGTCATGTCTTGTGTCGCGGGCGGGTTTTTGCCCTCGATGCTGGCTCTGGGAGGTTATCTACTCAGCACTGCTGGTAGCCGCTGCATGTGGGTGTTGATCAAAAGGTCCTTGTAAGAAATTTCATGTAAAGCCTACATCTCAAGGATGCGTAAGTGATTTTGATCGACTGCCTTGTGCTTCCTGGAAATCTTGTGTCATGTGCTAACCTTGCTTGGCAGACGGTGCAACATGTGAATTAGGGTTTATATTGCTAGTATCCCAAAATCCTCAAAGGACACCCAATTTTTGCACTCACCAATATGTAGGGAACTCTACTCACCAACAAGCCCTAACCCATAAACCCTAAGCCTAAACCCCTGTTTCAAATGCTCCTGGCCCTGATCTTTTCCAGCAAGGAACTCGGTGCAGCAGCAAGCTGGGCTGAAGGCAGGCATAGCTGGCAGAATCTCCACAGTAAGTTTGATTCCCAGAACCCTGAGCCCTAAACCCTAAACCCTAAACCCTTGTCAACACCCTAAACCCCAAAACCCCTAAACTCTAAACCCTTAACTAGAGAACGGTTGTCCCGAAAGCATATGACAGCCACAGTTAAGACCTCGCTAATTTATAGTTTCATAAACACGAAGTCCATCACGTCATCTATTCATGCATCAGCCACCACGACATCCGTTCACTCATCAACGATGACGACGAACTACGCGAAAACACGCAGATTGTTGTCGTCAGCGCGATCACGACACCCCGCGCGCACGCAGAGGAACATCGTTTTTGCGTTTCGACAACGCCAAAACACGCAGAGGGTTGTCGTTCGTGCGAGCACGACACCCCGCGCGCATGCAGAGGGTGCTCGTTTTCGCGTTTCGACAACGCCAAAACACGCAGAGGGTTGTCCTTTTTCGACTTTTTTCACAAAGTGCGGCCGGCTCCCGCCAACCCTACCCCGTGCTTTACAACATATTGACGTTAAGAGGGAAACCCACCAAATCCGTCACGCCGTCCATCGGGGCATCATCACGCCATCCATCACGTCATCCATATAACGACCACTCTTTAACGACAACCACCTCCGCTGAAAAACCTTCCGCCATGCTTTCGGGAAGAAGCGGCCCCTTGCAGGTGATCTATCCAGGAGGGCTGGAGCAACTTCAGCGGGCCTACCAGGTCGGGCTGTCAGCGCTCCTTGAGGTGGTGCTACATACAGGGTTTAGGGTTTAGGGTTTAGGGTTTAGGGTTTAGGGTTCAGGGTTCAGGGTTTAGGGTTCAGGGTTTAGGGTTTAGGGTTTAGGGAACAAATTACAATATACATAGTTATGTAAATGTATGTAAATACCTTTGTCTGTTTTTCTACATACCTACACACGTATACATATATATTTATATACACACAAACAGCTGCATATACATATACATATGCATATACATATACATATATGTACACGTGCATATACATGAATGTGCATCTGCATATTCATACGCACATGTATATTTTAATATGCATATACACATACATATAGAATGCTGTATGTGTATATATATATATGCACGTATTCCACGTATACATACATATATATATATATATGTACATATATACGTATATTATGATTTAGTCAGTACAACCCTGAAGAGAGTTATAAATGAATGATCTTCAATATGGTTCGTAGTCGCTGTTCTATTCAGGATTGTAATAAAGAGTCTCTTCGTGAGTACATGAATGATTTGATGATACGGACTATTATGGAAAGTGTCTGGCCCGAAAATAAGAATTGTATGAACTAGGGTGGTTCTTACTCGTATCCCCAAAAGGGCACCCACACACCCAGCAGGAACAGCAATATAAACCCTAAACCCTGAACCCTAAGTCTCACCCCTAAACCCCAAACCCCAAACCCCAAACCCCAAACCCTAAACCCTAAACCCTAAACCCTCAACCCTAAACCCTAAACCCTAAACCCTAAACCCTAAACCCTATTCCTTCGTGCGCCGGTAGCCCTTACATGCTGCCAGGCCATGCCACGGCTTCTTCAGGCACGGGGCGCTGCCTCGAACCTGCTGAGTCGGGCTATGTTTCCGGCGGTTTAGGGTTTAGGGTTTAGGGTTTAGGGCTCAGGGCTTAGGGCATCCCATATTGCGGTGAGGTTATGCCATCTTCTGCTATGAGGGTTCGTTGCAGGCATGGGAGCCGCCAGCGTACCTCGCCGGCCTGGGCCAGATTGTGCAGTCCATGAGATGCCAGCTGACCTACCAGGCTGGATGTAAAGGGTGTGCAGGAAACCTAAGCGTTTAGGGTTTAGGGTTTAGGGTTTGGGGTTTAGGGTTTAGGGTTCCCTAGACCCCAAATCACCATACAACAGAATCAAACAATAGTAGTAGCAACAGTTGACGGAAGGCAGGCTTAGATCTAGGTCCGGAGTTCCTGTTGCCTTGCGCCCCAGGCAGTCGTGTCCGTGCACAAGGCCGGCTTTCTTCTCGGTGTTGTCACCCTAAACCCTAAACCCCAAACCCGAAACCCTAAACTCGGAGTCAGCTGGAATCCGAGCTTCTCAACCCCATGCTCAAAACCCTAAACCCTGAACCCTAAACCCTGAACCCTAAACCCTAACCACTAAACACAGAACCTTAAGTCCTCAACCCTAAACCCTAAACCCTAAACGCTAAACCCTAAACCCTAAACCCTAAACCCTAAACCCTAAACCCTAAACCTTAAACCCTCAAGGCCGTTGCCGATCACTTCCGGATCGCCTGCCCCGATGGGGCGGCTTGCCGCTACAGCGCCTCTCAGCGATGAAAACGTGGTCTTTGCATGTAGCCCCCGAAGCCCGAAAGGCCAGCTTCCCTTTTCGGAATCTGAACCCTAAACCCTAAACCCTAAACCCTAAACCCTGAACCCTGCATCCTGCATCCTGGTGCAGCTGCAGGACTGTCCCAAGTGGCACGAGGGGAGGAGGCAGATGCCATGCCCCTTGGGCTGCATGGGCTCCCATGGGGTTTAGGATAGGGTTTAGGGTTTAGGGTTTAGGTTTAGGGTTTAGGGTTTAGGGCTATTGGGTCCCCTGGGGTTTGGGTGAGCTAGAACTTGCGAGGTCTGAAGCTGTCCTCCAGCGAACATGGCTCGCACCCTCTTCCCTAAACCCAAACCCTCAACCCTCAACCGTAGAAACCCTGAACCCTAAACCCCCTGGTTCGCTCCCCTCAGGAAACCCTAAACTTCACCCCCAAGACCTCAACCCTCAACCGTAGAAACCCTAAACCCTAAACCCTAAACCCTAAACCCTAAACCCTAAACCCTAAACCCTAAACCCTAAACCCTAAACCCTAAACCCTAAACCCTAATCCCTACACCCTAAACCCTAAACCCTAAACCCTAAACCCTAAACCCTAAACCCTAAACCCTAAACCCTAAACCCTAAACCCTAAACCCTAAACCCTAAACCCTAAACCCTAAACCCCAAACCCTAAACCCTAAACCCTAAACCCTGAACCCTAAACCCCCTCATGCGCTCCCCTCAGGCAAGTATGGGGATGCCTGCACGCGCTGGCATGGGGCGAACGCATGCGGCCTGGCCACGAAAAAGCCCTCTGGTTCTGCGTGGGGAATGAAGGAGTTCGGACCCTATATATCCTTTTTAAGGGATGATATAGGGCCTTATATATACCCTTTAAGGATTATTTAGGGCCTTATACCCTTTAAGGGATTATATAGGGCCCCCATATATACCCTTTAGGGGATTATAGGGCCCTATATATACCCTTTTAAGGGATTTTATGGGTGCCGCATTCCCTCATTCCCTACTAAGAATCAGCCAGAATGTGTTTGCAGCGGTCGCCTTTTTTGAGTGCGGCCGAGCCACGGTCGTGCATGCCGAGATGTTGCGGAGTCTTCTTACAAATGTATATATGCGTATATGGCATCCATATTTACAGTGCGTTTCATCGCAACAATAGGTATAGTAGCAATTGTAAGAAGATAGCAACAATAGGTACAATAGCAGCAAGAACAGTTGTAATGGTAAGAAGATCAAGCAGCCCTCAACGCTTACAGGCAAACCTAAACCCTAAACCCTAAACCCTAAACCCTAAACCCTAAACCCTAAACCCTAAACCCTAAACCCTAAACCCTAAACCCTAAACAGGCAAGTTCCTGCACAGCTATGCCTGGCACCAGAGGCCTGCGCCACAGGTCCGGCTGAGCTGCGCTGCACTAGCACTGTTGCTGGGGTTTAGGGTTTAACCCTAATTAAACCCTAAACCGTGACTAAGCCCTAGAGGCTTAGGGTCTAGAGTTCAGGAAGCTGTGTGAACCAGCTTGTCATGTGGAGAGTGAAGAGTCACGGTTGTAACCCCTCTGGCTGAGTTCTACTTTGCCAGAGTCTGTAGCTCTTGCGTCAATCGTTGTGAGTGTACTGTAAGGGTCGGCTCCATTACTCCCCCCCCCCCCCCCACACTATGCTTCCTTTCGAGAAAGTCATTTGTTGTAGGTTTCTCGTCCCGCGCATACTGCATTGCACATCTTGGCATCATGTGCAGGTGTGATACGATCATGTTCGGGTCAGGTCAAGAGCCCGTTTCAACGTCAGAAGCACCCAAACCCCCTGAACCCTGACCCCCTGCAAGGGGCCAGAGAATGCGCTGCAGCTGGCCTTCAAGCGATGCCAGGAAAGGGGCATCAGGACCCCCGAGGGGTAGTAGGGAATGGGGGAGAGAGGTATTAAAGGGTATATGAGAGGCCCCTACGTAATTTCTGAGAGGGTAGACTATAGGGCCCTATATACTCCCTTAAAGGGTATATTAAAGGGGGATATAGGGTACCCTCGTTCCCTCATTCCCTACTAACCAACGGTAAGATCAGGACCCCTCGAGGGCTTTGGGGCTGAGAGTTTCAGGGAGATTGAGAAGCGAGGTCTAAGGATGTGGGTAGTTCTCTAAATTGGGTCCTTTTTTGGGTCCCCTTTGTACGACACCCTTGTGAAAAAGACCTCCCAAATAGGACCCCAACTTAGAGAACTACTCGTGTGGCGGTTTGGTGTTACCGTTGGGTCAGGGTGTGGTTGATTGCTTGTTCTAGCTGTGCTGATCAAGGGTGTCCAACACTTAAGTCACACTTAAGCCACACTTAAGTCTGTTCCTCCTTACTTTCGAGGCTTTTCTGGAACAGCAGGTGCTATCGGCTTCACAAAGGCGTGCAGGCAGATAGCCCACGGTCTGCATGTGACCGCCATGCATAACCTCGGCTCCTCTTAAGCAGGCCCAGAAGCGCTGCGGCGTAAAACAAATCCTCATGGCCCCCGTTCCTGAACCCTAAACCCTAAACCCTAAACCCCAAACCCTAAACCCTAAACCCTAAACCCTCAACCCGGAGGATCACGGTCATCACCAAAGGCCAGACTACATCTTTCCGACTCCAGCATGACCGGATCGAGCAGGTTTGTCAAGCTGCACGAAGTGGCTTCCACACCAGGTTGCGCAGGTTTTCAGATGTGGTCAGGGCAGGTTTAGGGTTTAGGGTTTAGGGTTTAGGGTTTAGGGTTTAGGGTTTAGGGTTTAGGGTTTAGGGTTTAGGGTTTAGGGTTTGGGTTTTAGGGTTTAGGGTTTAGGGTTTAAGGTTTAGGGTTTAGGGTTTAGGGTTTAGGGTTTAGGGTTTGGGGTTTGGGCTTTAGGGTCCCCTGAACAGTGCTCCCTGATGTGGAAGAAGTTACCAGGGGCGCGGTGTGTGTTAACGCTGGACAAGATCTCAGGCTCAGAGAATCGAGAACAATCCTCTCAGGTACAATGTCAAGGTTGCAGGATGCTAGCGCATGCTGGCATGTCGCGGGCTTTTTTTTTGGGGCGCCTGTCGTGTGGTTGCCTTCTGCGTGTGGGGGAAATTTGAGGACCCCAGGCGAAGTGACAAGGCGTGTGATTTTCTTGCATATCTGGCGATACCTGTTTTTCCATATTCATGGTTCCCCCCTTCTTGGTGCAACACTTGGCACATGCCCAGCTCAATCTGAAAAGGTGCGTTCGTTTTCTGAATGATAGATGACACTGCCTGCGTTGTGTCTTCACCCCCTGGTTCTTAGCAGGGAATGAGGTTTAGGGTTTTTGGGTTTGTATCAAGCGCAGCGACCCAAGTCGCAGTTCAAGGTCCAACGATCCCGAGAGGAGTTCCTCCAGGCTGTTGCCTGCGACATCTTCGTGCATCCGCAGAAGGACTGCCACCACGTTTCATTGTTCGAGACCCTAAACCCTAAACCCTAAACCCTAAACCCTAAACCCTAAACCCTAAACCCTAAACCCTAAACCCTAAACCCTAAACCCTAAACCCTAAACCCTAAACCCTAGCAGTCAAGTTCTCTTGCCGTCCCAGGACTTGCTCTTCACAAAGCCGGGGGTGTCCAGGATGATGGCAAAGCTCAACGACAAGTCCATTCCGGGATACCTTCACTGGGACAAGAAGACACGCTGCTTGCCTTGCAGTGTCCATTGTCGAGGTTTAGGGTTTAGGGTTTAGGGTTTAGGGTTTAGGGTTTAGGGTTTAGGGTCTAGGGTTTAGGGTCTAGGGTTGGGTGTGATTGAGTCGGGTGGTTTGAGAGGCTCCGTCCGCATCTTCGGCCAAGAAGAGGACAGGGCCCAGACTTGGAGAGACAGCATACCCTTAAACCCAAACCCCAAACCCCAAACCCCAAACCCCAAACCCCAAACCCCAAACCCCAAACCCCAAACCCCAAACCCGAAACCCGAAACCCGAAACCCGAAACCCGAAACCCGAAACCCGAAACCCTATCCCCTAAACCCTAAACCCCAAACCCTACACCCTAAACCCTAAACCGCAAAGAGGACAAGTCGCGCACCAAGCGCATCCTTGGGGAGCTGCTGAAGGAGCTGCAGCCCTTCGAACGCCGGCGCCTTGCTCAGCAAGTTCTCGGTTTTCGGGTTGTAGGGTTTCGGGTTTAGGGTTTAGGGTTTAGGGGGTTTTCGGGTTTTAGGGTTGAGGGTTTGGGGTTTCAGGGTTAAGGAGTTTAGGGTTTTGGGGTTTAGGGCTTGGGATTTCAGGGTTTTGGGGGTTTCCGGGTTTTAGGGTTGAGGGGTTAGGGTTTCAGGGTTTAGGGGCTTAGGGTTTTACGGCTCTAAGGGTTTGGGGGTTTAGGGTTGAGGCTTTCGGTAGCCAACAGGAGCATGACGTGCGCGCGGGCAGGCTTGACGAACAACGCAAACGGGAGCTGACTGACGTGGGGGCTTACGATGATATGGGACCCCGAATACAGACCCCCAAATAGTAGGATCCCCTTAGAATAAGGACCACAATACGTTACCTTTTTTTCGTAAACCTCCAAGTTTCACTGTTGCTGACGGTCCCTAAACCCTAATCTCTAAACCCAAAACCCTAAACTCTAAACCCCTCCCCCCGCCGCTCCAAATCCGGAAGCCATAGGTCTTTCATGCTGGACCGGGCAAAGACCAACGATTGGGGTCGCGAGCTGGAGCAGGCCGTTAAAGGCTCCGTGGCCCTAAACCCACAGCCCTAAACCCGAAACCCCAAACCCTAAGCCCTAAACCCTCAACTCTAAACCCTCAACCCTAAACCCTAAACCTTAAACCCTAAACTGGATTTCTGGGCACCCCCTTCCGTTGATCTATTGTTTCACGGGTCCAGAGTTTCTATGTGACCCTTTCAAGGGCTATATAGAAGGGGATGTAAGGTATACTTGATTCCCCAACTAGCCACAAAAAGACCAAGGGCTCTATAGGAGGATCTAAGGTGCTTCAAGGGTTTTTGCCGAAGGGGATTTGAGGTACCAAATTTCTTAGCTCCCTACAACAAGAACCAGTAAGACTCCAAGTATACAGGGCTACATAGGGGGATATACAGTACCCCAAACCCTAAACCCTAAGCCCTAAGCCCCAGATCCTAAACCCTAAACCGTGAACCCTGAACCCTAAACCCTAAACCCTCAACCCTGGTACGACCCAGAGTGTTGTGAGGTCTTGGGCTGGAGCACTACAACCTCAACAGGACTTCCGGGGGGCACCGAAGCTGTCAAGCCCACGCATGAATTTCTGCGCGAGGAGCCCCTAAACCCTAAACCCTAAACCCTAAACCCTAAACCCTAAACCCTAAACCCTAAACCCTAAACCCTAAACCCCAAATCCGAAACCTTAAACCTAAACTTTGGGTTTTCGGGTTGAAGTTCCAAGTTTACGGGTTAGTGTTTAGTTTAGGGTTTTAGGGTTCAGGGTGTTTACAGTTTAGGGTTTAGGGTTTAGGATCTAGGGTTTAGGGCTAAGGATGGTTTAGGGTTCTACCTCTCCTCTTGCTCGCGCGCGCGCGGGCCTGCTCCAGGAAAGGCTGCATCCTGGATGTTTGGGTGCGGCCCGAGGATGCACGCGAGGTTCCGTCCTCAGGATTTAGGGTTTAGGGTTTAGGGTTTAGGGTTTAGGGCAACAGATGCGCTAGTAAAGCCTGTGAAGTTCGCAGTACATCGGAACAGTAAACAGCCTAAGCCCGGAGCCCTAAACCCCACACCCCAAACCCCAAAACCCCGAAAACCCCCCCAAAACCCAAAACCCCGAATTAATCCCAAACCCAAAACCCAAAGCCCTAAACCCAAAACCCCCAAAACCCCAAACCCCAAACCCCCTAAACCATCAACCCTAAACCCTAAACCCTAAACCCCAAACCCTAAACCCTAAACCCTAAACCCCAAACCCCAAACCCCCTAAATCATCAACCCTAAACCCTAAACCCTAAACCCCAAACCCTAAACCCTAAACCCTAAACCCCAAACCCCAAACCCCTTAAATCATCAACCCTAAACCCTAAACCCTAAACCCTAAACCCTAAGCCCTAAACCCTAACCCCTAAACCCTAAACCCAAAACGCCCAGAAGGTGCAGGCGCTCACTGGCATGCTCTCCTCCCAGGGGTGGGAGCGCCGGGTCCCGCCGATTGTTGCGGAGGGGACGCTTGGAGCAGTCAGAAGGGTTTAGGGTGTAGGGTTTAGGGTTTAGGGTTTAGGGTTTAGGATTTAGGGCTTGGGGTTTAGGGTTTAGGGTTTAGGGTTGAGGGTTTAGGGTTTAGGGTTTAGGTTTAGGTTAAGGTTTTGGAAATTGGAGTGTAGGGTTCATAGGGAGTTTAGGGTTTCATGTTTACTTAATTTTATTCTTCCACCTACTTTGGATCCTTTACCATAGTTAGGGTTGAGGGTTTAGGGCTGAGCACCACGGCTGCGGGCGCAAGTAGGAGGTTCGCAATATGGCAAGAAGCCTGAACCCCGGGTTTATAAGGAATAGGGTTCAGGGTTTAGGGTTTAGGGTTTAGGGTTGATTCAGGGTTCAGGGTTCAGGGTTCAGAATTTTGGAGTTCAGGGCTATTCCGTCATTCCAAGTAGCTGTGTTGAGAAAGCAGCAGCCTTCTTGACAAGAGCAACTCAAAGAATGTCCCCCCCAGACAAGCTTGCCTTCAAATACGGTGTTTCCAGCCATGCTGGCAACCATTTTGCTCGCTAATACTTGGAGGTTCAGGGTACTTAGAACCCCAATTATAACTTCACTCGTAAGCCCCCTAAGTCCCCCTATGTAGGTCATAAGTAGATTTACAATTGCGGTTAGAAGTACCCATGAACCTCCAAGTAAGGATTCAAGGGTGCAAGTGAAGCTGCGATTTGGTTCGGCCGAGGACATGCTGCCTTTGCATGTGCGACTTTGACGACGACACATGGCAATTTCAGGCGAGCTGCGCACCGATTTCGGAGCTCTCCTTGTCATGCACTCTTCAACAGCACAAGCTTCTTGTGAGCAGCCCCCTGCTTACCCAAAACCTCAACGCTCAACCGTCAACCCTAAGCCCTAAACCCTACACCCTAAACCCTAGACGCTAGACCCTAAACCCTAAACCCCAGTTCATCCAGGCCTGCCGCCATCGGTTTTGCACCGCGTGCATCCGAAACGCCCTATCCGATCCTGATGGGGCCCACTTCCCCATCGCGCAGCTGGCCAGACACCAGAGGGGGCTGAGTAAAACCTGCCCTAAACCCTAAACCCTAAACCCTAAACCCTAAGCCCCAAACCCTAAACCCTAAACCCCAAACCCAAACCCCAAACCCTAAACCCTAAGCCCTCTTGAGCTGCGTCCCTCTCCAAACACGGCAGCGCCTATCACAACCCCCATGTTCGTCTGCATAATCCAGGGGTTTAGATGGGTTTAGGGTTTAGGGTTTAGGGTTTAGGGTTTAGGGTTTAGGGTTTAGGGTTTAATTTGTATTCCCTGATGGTCCCTTTCTGAATATACTAGAATGACCGCCAAAGCCCTGTTCTAATGATTAAGGCCCCTATATTACCCCAGCAGCCTTCCACACCATCCTAGCCTACTATGTAGGGTTTTAGGGTTTAGGGTTTGCAAAACATGAAAGTATTCTTCCTTATAAGGGCAATCTAGGGATTGTTCTCTATTTCTTTGGGGAGGGGGGGGGGGGTTCTTAAGCAAACAGTAGCCCATCACATGCAAGGTGCCCCTTCACGGATCAGGCTGGCCGGTGCAACAGCCATCTCGTTTGGAAGGAGCGGCGTTTCGGGTTTTCTACTTCTGATCAGCCATCCTTCCGGGTTTGGAGGGTTTGTGGTCCAGATTTACCAGGGCTTCTAGGGTACTAAAGCCTGAAGCCTAAAGCCTAACGCCTAAAGCCTAAAGCCTAAAGCTTAAAGCCTAAAGCCTGAAGCCTGAAGCCTAAAGCCTGAAGCCTAAAGCCTAAAGCCTAACACCTAACGCCTAAAGCCTAAGGGTCCACTGTTAGCCGCAGACGTGTCATGCCATGTGCAGCAGGATCCTGCTCCCAACCATGATCATGTCACGGCGGGACCCTAAACCCTAAACCCTAAACCCTAAACCCTAAACCCTAAACCCTAAACCCTAAACCCTAAACCCTAAACCCTAAACCCTAAACCCTAAACCCTAAACCCTAAACCCTAAACCCTAAACCCTAAACCCGAAACCCTAAACCCTAAACCCTAAACCCTAAACCCTAAACCCTTTACCCTTTACCCTTTACCCTTTACCCTGTACCCTTTACCCTTAACCCTAAGCCCTAAGCCCTAAACCCTATACCCTATACCTTAAGCCCTATACCTTAAACCCTATACCCTATACCTTAAACCCCAACCCTAAACCCTAAACCCCAAGCCCTAAACCCTAAACCCTAAACCCTAAACCCCCCTAAACTCTAACCCTGAACCCTAAATCCTAAACCCTATGGCAGGACCTTGTGGGCGTGGTCAACTCCGACGTCCTTGCGCGCATCAAGAACATCGCCCTTGACACGCTCGCATGGCCGCAGTTTTGAGGTGTCACGGGCGGGCCCCAGACCCTGTACAAGGCAGATGCTGGGAATACTCCCCTTTTCAGGGGTAGGTTTGAGCATCTTGTTATGTGTTTTTAGGGTTTAGGGTTTTTGTTTTTATTGCCCTGATCCCCCATGCAATCTTTATGAAGCCAGAAGAATGTTATTCTCACAGGGACCCCAAAGCTACCCCAGAGTTTTCCTGGATCTCCTGGGTCCTAGTCCTAGTCCTAGTCCTAGTCCTTGCAGTACTCCTCCTCATCATCCTCCTCCTCCTTCTGTTCCGCTCCTACTTCTGTTCTGCTCCGGGTTCTCCGATTGCACTCGCATGTGCACTATTCGACTACCATGATGACGACGATGACTACCACAGCCATGCCACACTTGCACCTGCTACAAGTACAGTGTGCAGGTGAGTAACGTAGTCTGCCCCTCGTCGTCAACCACCCTCAACCCGAAACCCTAAACCCTAAACCCTAAACCCTAAACCCTAAACCCTAAACCCTAAACCCTAAACCCCAAGAGTCGTCAGAAGCCAAGGTACCTCCGGGAGCGGCCACATGAGGCTATGTACTGCCCGGCGCCTGCTTGCAACCACATCCTGAGGCCCGCTCCCCCCGACTTTTGCACATTTACCGCAGGTACCCCTGACCCTATAAGCTCTGAACCCTGCACGTAAAAACCCCAAATGCATCACTTTGCGCTGCATGTTGTGCTTGGTGGACGCCGTGCAGACATCAGAGGGTTCAAGGTGGAACACCCTAAACCTTCAACGCGAGGAACTCCTAATCCCTAAACCCCCAAACCCTACGCCCCCTAAATGCTACGTAAGCCCCTAAACCTCTAAACCCCTAGTCCTTAAACCCCCAACCCCCCCCCCTCCCTCTAAACCCTAAACCCTAAACCCTACACCCTAAACCCTAAACCCTAAACCCTAAACCCTAAACCCTAAACCCTAGGCCCTGAGCCCTAAACCCTGAGCCCTAAACCCTAAGCCCTAAACCCTAAACCCTTAAGGTGGAAGCCAGCCGAAACCTTTCTTTTTTGTGACTGGTGCAGGCCTCCCAGCGCCCAGACCGGGGATGAGAGCAAGGCTGGAGGGCAGCAAAGGGGAGCGCATATCTATATATATATATATATATGTGCATATATATATATATATATATATATACATACACTGTGTATGTATGTATGTATGTAAGTATGTATGTATGTATGTATGTATGTATGTATGTGTATACATATATATATATATATATGTATACGCATACGTATAAAGCCGCATGTGGGTGTACACATGTTTATGTATATGTGTATGTATGTGCATATGGATATGTACATGTAATCTGGCAACATAGGGAAACAGTCGTGACAGCAATCGGCGATCGTCGACCCGGGATGAGTGAACTGGCCCGTAAACCCTAAACCCTAAACCCTAAAGCATTTATGTTGCATAGATGTTCTCGAAGGAAGGTGGCCGTGTGGTCTTCTGCGAACTCTGTGCGGCCACGTGCCCTGGATGAAGTCGCAAGGTACAAGCAAGGAGCCTAAAACCTAAACCCTGGACCCTAAACCCTAAACCCTAAACCCTAAACTTCAGCTGCAATTTTCACCCAGAGGCTCGCGGACGCATTCTTGGCCCAGGTACTGTGTGGCCTGCAGCGAGGTCGAGAAGTCGCCCGTGCCGCAGCATGTAGGCCACTGGACTCGGTTTTTAGGGTTTAGGGTTTAGGGTTTAGGGGTTTAGGGTTTAGGGTTTTGGGGTTTAGGGGTTTAGGTGTTTAGGGGTTTAGGGGTTTAGGGGTTTAGGGGTTTAGGGGTTTAGGGGTTTAGGGGTTGAGGGGTTTAGGGGTTTAGGGGTTTATATAGGGGTTTAGAGGTTTAGGGGTTTAGGGGTTCAGGGGTTTAGGTGTTGAGGGGTTTAGGGGTTTAGGGGTTTAGGGGTTTAGAGGTTTAGGGGTTTAGGGGTTTAGAGGTTTAGGGGTTTAGGGGTTGAGGGTTTAGGGTTGTTGGGTTGCTTTCAATGTTTAGGGCTTAGGGGTTCATTCCAACTTTGAGGGAGGTCCCTAAACCCTATACCCTAAACCCTAAACCCTAAACCCTAAACCCTAAACCCTTCTCCCACGTTCCCTGCCTGACAGGTTACACGTGTGAGGAGCGCCGGCGGCTCGGTAACCCGGACATCAAGAAGCACAGAGAGGTGTGGGTTCAGGGTTTAGGGTTTAGGGTTTAGGGTTTAGGGTTTAGGGTTTGGGGTTTGGGGTTTAGCGTTTAGCGTTTAGGGTTTAGGGTTTAGGCTCCTTGCTTGTACCTTGTGACTGCATCCACAGAGAGGTGCGGGGAGTCGCCTTAATCAATCAAGGCATTAAAGGAGGGACCCTTTTAAGGGACCTTAGGGGTTTTTTTGGGGTGATTTAGGGGCTACTTAGGTATAAAGGGACTATGTGAGGTATATATAGGGTTTTCTCGGGGAATAAGATGAAGGGCCCCTCTAGAAGTCCCTTCTTATACCCCTTAAGTGTAGTTCTGCTCGTCTTGGTTTCGCATTTGTGGGTTCAGGGTTTAGGGACTGACAGACACGAGGAGTTGGGTACTGTCTGATGGTGAACCCTGCAGTTCATCTCGGACATCCTCACTTTGAAATGCCCACGCTGCCGTCACGCCCTCTACGACTACGACGGCTGCGCTGCTGTGAAGCGCGGGGGCTTGCCAAAACTGACAGGGGCAAACGGTTGTAGATTGGAAATCTGGGCTGCTGCTAGCATGGTTTAGGGCAGTTTAGGGTTTAGGGTTTAGGATTTAGGGTTTAGGGTTTAGGGTAACTCTGGCAAATGCAGGTGCACGTGCGGCTGCGGCTTCTGCGCGAAGTGCTTCAAGGACCGGTTGTTTCCACTGCCTCAAGGCATGTTGGTCAGCGACTAGACCTTTAACGCGCGCTTGGTCTTGCTGCTGTGCTCTTCACCCAAAAGGGGCTCTGAAAATTCGGGCACCTGTATTGAGGTTCCTGCAAAAAGGGTTATCGAATCTTGCGCATCATGGTCCCGCGCTCCGAAGGGGTAAGCCAACCTCCCATCCTGAAAGAAAGCAAGCCAGCAAACCCTAAACCCCAAACCCTAAACCCGAAACCCTAGACCCTGATCCCTAAACCGTAAACCCGAACCCCTAAACCCAAAACCCCACGATTCTGAGCCACAAGGACTGTGGACAAGATGCCCACTCGCACACGCAGAGGCAGGCAAGTCTCAAGGGCCTTAGCCCTAAGCCCTAAGCCGTAAGGCCCACGCCCTAAGCCCTAAGCCCTAAGCCCTGAGCCCTAAGCCCTAAGCCCGAAACCCTAAGCCCTGAGCCCTAAGCCCTAAGCCCTAAACCCTAAACCCTAAACCCTAAACCCTGAACCCTGACTTGGCCCAGCCCTACCAAGCGCCACAAAAAGGAAGTGGAGGTCGGGGTTTCGGCAGAGTGCGTAGGGAAGGGCGCCAAAACCCCAAACCCCCAACCCCCAACCCCAAACCCTAAACCCTAAACCCTAAACCCCAAACCTTCCGTTCGTAGGCTCTTGGTGTGGGTCCCCCACTCCCTCCCCAAATGAGTCCGAAAGTGCTGAGGTGCCAGGGGCCCGGCATTCCTGGCATCCCCAAGGCGCATCTGAGTCTTCCCTCCCTCTAGGGTCTAGGGTTGAGGGTTTAGGGTTTAGGGCTTGGGGTTGAGGGTTTGGGGTTGAGGGTTCAGGGTTCCCTAAGCCATAAATCCGAACCCCGAAGCCCTCAACGGCGATCCGACAGCCGTCTGCATTTTGCACAGGGGCTTGGCAGTTTTGGAGCTCTTTTTTGTTCCCTCACTTTTCCCTGAACATGAGGGAGTGCGGGGGAGACGGAAGAACACAAAACCTACTCTGAGTTTGGCGGGTAAACTTCGCGCGGACCGGCAAGCCGTGTCAATCAGTCAGCATACGGCGTGGGTAAACTGTGCCGATCAGCGGAGTGAGCGGATACCCCGGTTGTTGCGAAGTATCCAGCATGCTACTCCAGAAGAAGTCAGTACCCTGAAACATCATCCTTACGATTGAAACCGCCAGAAAAGTATTCCCTGATTCTGTTTTCTGCGTTCGCTTGTGCAGGTTGCCACGGGATACCACCTCGCCACGCAGGCGCAGAGCACTGGGCCGAACTCAAAGGGGCTTGTATCTGAACGCAGTCGCTGGGTTTTTTTCGCAAACCCTAAACTCCAAACCCGAAACCCTAAACCCGAAGCCCGAAACCCGAAACCCTAAACACAAAACCCTAAAATCTTCTGAAAAAGGTTGAGCAGGGGGTTTGGGAATCCATCGCCTGCAAACCTTCTGGCTGTGCTCAAACCGGACCAGATACACGGACGTCACAAAACTGCACAGTTCCACAAAGCTGGGGTAAGTTTGGGGGCCCTGTAAGCTTAAATTCTTATGGCTTTAGAAAGATGATCAAGGGGCTTAAGGGCAATACACATTAGAAAAATGATGCTGAAACGCACCCCTGAAAGTGTGTCAGCATCCGCCAGTGGACATGTGCGTTTCTTTGACATGGGTGGTATTAAAAAAATTATGGTCCCTTTTTGGATCCCTATTACAATACGGCACTCAATGTTTTAGCGTTATTACAGAAGAGTTCCGGATCTGATGGTTCCATCGGTAGGGAATTGGACTTATTGGGGGTTTGAGGGAGGGAGATGGAACAGCACACTCTCCGAGTTTCAGTCCTAAACCCTAAACCCTAAACCCTAAACCCTAAACCCTAAACCCTAAACCCTAAACCCTAAACCCTACACCCCAAGACCCTAAACCCTAAACCCTAAACCCTAAACCCTAAACCCTAAACCCTAAACCCTAAACCCAAAACCCCAAGACCCTAAACCAAAACCCAAAACCCTAAACCCAAAACCCTAAACCCTAAACCCTAAACCCTAAACCCCGACAGTTTCTGAGCGTTGGCAGGAGTTTGACCGACTCAACCTCCAAGTGGCCGAGTACCGAATCCGAGAATACCTGGACGGCAAGGCAGGGCGCAAGTTGCTGGAGCCCAGAGTAGGCCCTTCATGCCATTTCTTCGGGTTTAGGGTTTAGGGTTTATGGTTTAGGGTTTAGGGTTTAGGGTTCAGGGTTTAGGGTTTAGGGTTTAGGGTTCAGGGTTTAGGGTTTAGGGTTTAGGGCTACTAGGACCCGGAGAAGGCCCTAGGGTTCAGGTTCCCTTACAGGCCCCCCTTAAGCAAACAGAGTACTCGTTGTATTCCTAGGCTGCTCTTGGGTTTGACCCCCAAAACACCCCTGCAACCTTAAACCCTGACTTCTAAACCTTAAACCTTGAAACCCCAAACCTTAAGACCTTAGACCCTGAACCCTGAACCCTGGACCCTACACGGTTTCTTTCAAGTTTAGGGTTTCGAATTTAGGGTTTACGGTTTCATTCGGGTTTAGGGCTTACGGTCAATGAGTAAACATGAGGAACTTAGTAGAGAGTATGTAACCTTTAACCTTTTTGGGGTAATATGATCCCCTTATAATCCCAAAGGTTAACCTTTAGTTCCCCTGGGTACTGGACAACTAAGGGTAGCATGAGCGGCCTGAGGGCTTTTCGAAAAGCAATGAACGAGGTTAGCGCAGGGAGGATGTGGGTCCGGAATCAGGAGTGATGGAAACCATAAACCCTAAACCCTAAACCCTAAACCCTAAACCCTAATCCCTAAACCCTAAGCCCTAAGCCCTAAGCCCTAAACCTTAAACCCTAAACCCTAAACCCTAAACCCCAAACCCTAAACCCTAAACCCCCAAGCTTCAGGTGCCCTCAGCGCTGCGGCGGGAGGTGCTCAAGGCTTGCAAGGAGGACTTCCAGGGCCGGCCAGGCCATGAGACTTGGGGTTTGGGGTTTGGGGTTGAGGGTTTGGGGTTTAGGGTTTAGGGTTTGGGGTTTGGGGTTCAGGGTTTCGGGTTTCGGGTTTAGGGTTTAGGGTTTGGGGTTTGGGGTTTAGGGTTTGGGGATTTGGGTTCAGGGTTTAGGGTTTAAGTTTTTAGGGTTTGAGGTTTAGGGTTTAGGGTTTCGGGTTTAGGGTTTAGGGTTGGCTCGGGTTTCAGGGCTCCAGGGCATGAAGCACAAGAACACTGGCAGCTGGTGCTCAGACTAGCTGTTGGTTAGTGGGAATGAGGGAATGAGGTACCCTATATAATCCCTTAAAGGGTATATATGGGTGGATATAGGGTACCTCATACCCTCATTCCCTACTAACCAACAGTAAGCAGATTGAGGCAGAGGCATCCGCGCAGCCGTTGCAAGGTTGCCCATTCATGAGTAGGTATAAGTTACAATTCGTCATGCGCCACGAAATGATTGCTTCACGCACCTCCTTTTGTTGGAATGCCAGGCGGCAGCATTCGGATCGACTGAGAGCAGAGCACTGAATTCAGGATTGCAGGTAGTAAGTTGCGCAGCGCCCCTCACACGGAAGCCATGAAACTCATCCTCCGAAAAGCACGCTCCCTTTTCCGGAGTGAGGGAGCCGGGCAGTCGTGTACAGAGCGAGAGCTTTTTCAACTTAGTCAAGTCTACTTATTGCACATACTTTCATCTGGGAATCTCCGCGGCCTCTGATCAGGACTCTTTGCAGGACAGAGTGGCAAGAATGTCCGCATGCTCTGCAGTGTCAAGCACAGGGCAGAGTGCCTTCGGGCTTGGGGAGCCTTAAGGACCAAATGAACCCTAAAAGGGTTTATGGCCCATATACCTTAATCTGTATTCTAATAGCATAGGGTATGGCCCCATTTACAGGGTTCATGAGGTCCCCAAAACCTGCTTCATCCTACGCATGGCAGCAGCTCTGCGACTGACATTCCGCGAAGTTGGCTCAACTCCCAAAATGGGTGATCGAATCAAGTTCTGGCTGCACATTCGCCGGGCTTCATCAAAGAGGGTTTAGGGTTTAGGGTTAGGGTTTGGGCTGCACGTTTCAGCACTGCTGGAGCTGCCGAAGCTTGGCTGCGACGCCGAGAAGCACCTGTCTCTTGCGGCGCCTCTTCAATTGGCTGAGGTTTGGTAGAAGCTTTGGGGGGCAGCAATCAAGGACATCTTGGCCGAGCCTGTAACAGTCATGTGTCAGGACATGGGACCAAGGCAATCGTGGACGTTCTGCAGTGTTTGCGTGCAACGGAGCCTTCAGCTTTGCAACGTTCTGCGTGCCACGCGCTGCCGGGGCTGCCAGCTTGTCAGATGCAAGTAAGTGGCTCAGCCCTTGGAGTTTGGGTTTAGGGTCTAGGGTTTAGGGTTTCGGGTTTAGGGTTTAGGGTTTAGGGTTCGTACAAGATTCACCGGAATGAGTTGCAATTAGCGGTGGTGGCCTTGGGGGGACTTTGCCCGTAGAGTCCAAGCTGCGATGGTGCATTGTGTTGGTAGGAGATGGCGAGTATTGCAAATCAAATCATCCATGGTGCGCGGCATGGAGGAGCTCGAAATCTGGACAGATTGCAGAGCTTCCTGCAACGGGCGGCTTCTTTCAGTCAAGCTATGCAAAGAACACGTCGCAGCTTTACCCTTCGCTGTATTGGGTTGTAACATTCCGAACTGCAAAAAAAACATTCGCTAGGTCTTGGCGTGTCGCAGCCTGGCGAACGACTGGTCGTTTAGCGATCCGTGCATCGGCCATGGTTTACTGTTGGTTGGTACCTCATTCCCTCATTCCCTACTAACCAGCAGCAAGTGGTTGAGTTTCAAAGGAGCCGGATATCTTGAAGCCCTAACCATGGACGTGAAAGGCAGGGTGGGATCGTGCCCTTCGCGGAATCATGGCTCCAGTTTCAACCCACCTGGCGCTAGCACCTCGCTCTGAGGGGTGCCTCTTGAATGAGCTGCAAGCGGCTGATCCCAACAGTGGCCGGACAGGCTTTGCCAAACACATGAGTTTGCCAACCAGGCAGACGACAGAACCCGCGGAGACCCAACATGTTTACAATCCACGCACCCTGAGCTGGAACGAGATGAACGACGCGAACCAGGGAAGTCATGCCTGCCAAGCGGAAACAGCCGACTCCCTGTGCACGGAAGCCCAACATGGGTGCCACGATCTCTAGCAGCGGCTTGGCGCAATCCTGGCCGCGTATTTGATGCGCAACGCTCTCGGCCTCTTTTGCGCAGAGCACCTGCTAGCAGTGGCAGCCCACCTTGGGGCGATGCAGAGTTTTGGCAGTGCTTCAAGTAAAGCAGTGACTGCGTACAATTCATTGCTCGCTCTCCTGCATCTCATCATATCAGCCAGTCTTGAACCCTAAACCCTAAACCCTAAACCCTAAACCCTAAACCCTAAACCCTAAACCCTAAACCCTACGCCCTAAACCCTAAACCCTAAACCCTAAACCCTATAGCCTAAACCCTAACCCTAAACCCTAAACCCTAAACCCTAAACCCTAAACCCTAAACCCTAAACCCTAAACCCTAAACCCTAAACCCTAAACCCTAAACCCTAAACCCTAAACCGGCGTCTTTGGTGTTGGCACTTTTTTCGGCTTCAGGGAAGCACCTCAACACGGCTGCAGAGGCAGCCCCTTGCTTCCTGACTTGGTCCTTAGTATACAGGGATCTCTGCTTGGGGATCTATTTTGGGGGGGTCGCATATTTTCGTAAACCCCCCATTTGTGGATGGGACAACTTGCCTGACAGAGCTTCTGGATCAGCGAAGACCGCAAGACCGCATGATTTGAGGCTAGGCTAGGGCGCTTGGCGATGCGGGGTGTTCATGCGTGTGCGCTGGACACAGAAGCTTCATTCGTTACGAACAGTGATTGTAAAGCTCCCCACCTACCTACACTTCTGTGGGCGGGTGTGAGGATGCCTGCGCAACAGCAATGCGGTCACACGCCCTGAGCCCTCACCCCTGAGACCTCAGCCCCAAAGAACGACTCCCCGACTGGGTTCGGATAGGGTTCCCAGAGCGCCCAAGACCCCTTAGAGATAAGGATCATGCCTTAAATCGTAGTCAGGATCCCTATAGGGTTTCGAGTTTCGGGTATGCAAATCAAAAGCCCCAGACCGGAAAACCAGAAGCTGGCTAGGACCTGAAGGCTTTTGGCCAAGCATGGCTTGTGATCTAGTAGGGGGTTGGCCCTGCACCCTACACCCCGAATACCCTAAACCCTAAACCCTAAAACCCCAATCGGCCTTGTCTTCACTCAAAGGGGTTTAGGGTTCAGGCTGGCACCCGACACCCTAAAGCCCTAAACCCTAAAACCCCAATCGGCCCCTCATCTTCACTCAACGCGGGGTAAGGGTTTAGGGTTTAGGGTTTAGGGTTTAGGGTTTAGGGCGTAGGGTTTAGGGTTTAGGGTTTAGGGTACAGGGTACCCCAAGACCCTATAACCCTAATTGGCCTTCAGCCTCAAGAATTGCCCTCAAGAAGGGGCTTAATCCTAAACCCTAAGCCCTAAGCCCTAAACCCTAAACCATAAACCCTAAACCCTAAACCCTAAACCCTAGCCCTAAACCCTAAACCCTAAACCCTAGGGTTTAGGGTGCGAGATTTTGGGGGGTCCTGGAGGTGCTTGAGCCTGGTGATCTGCAGCTTCCTGCCCAAACAAGGGATCCCGTAGATCTCCAAACCCTAAACCCTAAACCCTAAACCCTAAACCCTAAACCCCAAACCCTAAACCCTAAACCCTAAACCCTAAACCCTAAACCCTAAACCCTAAACCCTAAACCCTAAACCCTAAACCCTAAACCCCAAACCCTAAACCCTAAACCCTAAACCCTAAACCCTAAACCCTAAACCCTAAACCCTAAACCCTAAACCCTAAACCCTAAACCCTAAACCCTAAACCCTAAACCCTAAACCCTAAACCCCAACCCCAAACCCTAAGGCACACAGGGGTCGTTCTCTAAGTTCGGGTCCGGTTTTTTTGTGGGTCCTACATGTAGTACGGTACCCTTAAAAAGAAGGACTCCCCCAAGATGGAGATCTGCAGGGTATGGAGACTTCTGAAGGTCGTTGCGATGGCTCTTCGGGGACTCTTCCTGCTTCAAGTGCCGGTGGCTTCTGTCGGGAGCCGCGGCGCGTGGTCACCCAATCCGCGCGCTGACCCAGCATCTATATCCCCCCTTGGGGAATTATTTTATATTTGTGTGTAATATAAACCTAAGAGGATATTAAACATATTATTCTTATTAAGGTTCTAAGGGGAGCATAGGCAGCAGTACATCGCTGCGACAACGCCACGCGCTTCACCTTTCTGACACCCAGGCTAGCCGGGGCGACGAAGTACATGATGATGATGATGATGATGATGATGATGATGATGATGATGATGATGATGATAGTTTCTGCCTTTTGTCGTGATTTTGGGCCAGGCAAATACATGTGCAACACACTTTGCATTCCTTTGCAGTGCCGCCTTTCAGGCTTGTTCGAGTGGAGTTTTCGCAAGAGGGCGCTTTCGAGGACAGGGCCACCACGGCGATCGAGAATCGTCGCCTGCCGCCTCCCCAGGTCCTCCGTGTAACCACGGGACCTGTTTGGTGTGAGGTAGGAGTTCTGAAAATGGGGGTCCTTTACAAGCATCACCTGGGGCCTATTGCGGCTTAGATTTGAAACCTTGAGCCCCAAACCCTGACCCCTAAGCTCCTAAGGTCCTACGCCCTACTTTTTGCTGAGAGCTTCCCAGGTCACGGCTATCTGGGAAGATGACGGGTCTGAGAGCACCATGACGGTCCATTATCGCCCTGGGGCTGCTGGGGACACTGCCATTGAAGTTCTTGGGGGCAAGAACTAGCAAATCATTCTTGTCGCCTAGGTTCCATGGTTTAGGGTTTGGGGGTTCTGGGTTTAGGGTTAGGTCCTTTTGGATGTCGGAGAGTCCCCTCGTGCCCCAAGACAAATGCCTTGGCCCCTTCTGACCCTGAACCCTAAACCCTAAACCCTAAACCCTAAACCCTCAACCCTAAACCCTAAACCCTAAACCCTAAACCCTAAACCCTAAACCCTAAACCCTAAACCCTAAACCCTAAACCCTAAACCCTAAACCCTAAACCCTAAACCTTTAAGCCCTAAATCCTAAACCCTTGGCCTATCCGAAAGGTCGAGACGGTGCTGGGCGACGGTGAGATCGTGCGGTGGAGACAGGGCGACGAGGACACGGGCAACCTGAAAGGCACCCGCTTCGACTTGGCACCTTGCTAGGCCCTTGGGATATCTTATATTTTCCCCATTGTTGGGTTTAAGAGTGTTATTTTTGGGAATGTCTTTCATTCCCGTATAGGGTTTAAGAGGGTTCTTCTTTAGGAAAATATCTTTCAGAGGGCTTTTAAGGGGCCCTCCTAGGCACAGTGCTGCGCCAACCCTGGCACGTCCACGCCCAGCGAGCTGGATCCTCGCTTTCCGCTGGCCAACGGCATCCTGAGCCGTAATGGCTGGAGCCTCCTGGATGACCCTTGTTTCCTTTTTTAGGGTTTAGGGTTTAGGGTTAGGGTTTAGGGTTTAGGGCTACTAGGTTACTCTGGGGTCTAGGCCTCCTGGATGACTCGCACAGCCATGCGATCAACCCAGCTGCGGTGGGTTCCTGGGACTGGATCGACAGTGCCTGGGATGCTCTTTTTCGGAACTTGAGAGCTAAGTTTATCATCATCTTGAAGCCTAATCTTCTTCTTAGTTACCGTATATGCACACACTCTATCCATATGATTCATATTATGCCCTATAGAGCCCCCTAAACCCCAAAACACTTATGCAGGTTCCTCCACTCCACGGCAACCCAGGTGAGGCGCGGGAGTCCGAGTTGGACCTCTACGTCTTCACGTGCGGTGCGCAGTTCAGGCAGTGCCTTCAGGACTTCACGGCCGTGTCCTTGGGTTGCGAAGTTGTGGTAATGTTGCACTGTCTTTAGTATGGGGCCCCCCCCCCCCCCAAACAAATTTGGACCCTCTATAAACGCGTGGCCCGGCGACCCCCCCAAACAAATTGGGGGGGGGGGGAACCGCCCTCAGGGCCTCAAGCCTTTAGGACCTCAAGGCCTGAAGCTTTCCAGCCTTTAAGATTCCTGGAGCCCAAGGCCCTCGGGGCCTCAAGCCTTACTGCGTAAGCCCTTAACCCAAAACACAAACCCTCAAAAAAAAATCATCCGAAAAAAAACTTGGTATTATAGAGGGTAGCCAGACAAACTTACTAAAAACAGTCTGACCGGCCCGTGGGCTACCTATCACAAAATTTGTTTGGGGCCTCGTTTCGTAATGAATTTCCATTAGGCTTTACATGGGATTGGCCGGGCTTAGATTTCTGGATTCTCCGCGCTCTGGCTCTTTAAGGTTCCTGGAGCCCAAGCCCTCAGGGCTTCAAGCCTTACTGCGAAAGCTCTTAACCCAAAACACAAACCCTTAAAAAAAAAAAAAAAAACGTCCGGAAAAAACTTGTGATAATAGCGGGTACCCTGAACAAACTCGGTTCGCTGAATAAATTTTCGAAACTTGTGATTATAGACCCTCCTTATACTAAAAGCAGTCCAACATTACAGGATTTTTTAGGGAGCAGAGTTTAGGGTTTAGTAAGGGTTTAGGTTATAATGAGAAAGCCGTGTTATTTGCAATAGGCTTAAGTTCCCAAGCGGCAGCCTAGGTCCGGACCCATCAACCTCCCACCGCTTTCTGCCTTCGGGCACTGGTGGTCCCGGCATTGGGGCGACCCCTTCGATGGCATCTATTTCGGGCCGATGACACAGCAGGCCATCGCAAGCCGAAATCGAGCCTTTGATCCCTGGGCCCTGCGCTCTAAGGCTTTTGAAAGCCCTAAATCCTGAACCCTAACCCCACTCCCCACTCCCCATGCCACCCCCCCCCCCCCCAAAAAAAAAAAAAAAAAACAACAACAACAACAAAAGCATAGTAGCGCCCCCTATACCCTAAACCCTAACCCCCTGAAGGCCATCATCAAGGACGTCATCCAGGGGTACCGCGACCATGAGCTGCCACTCCACCAGGTGGTTTTCGACATGGAGCCTGGGCCCCCCGTTTAGTTGTACCCTGTTTCGCTATGTACTTAGGGTTTAGGGGTTGAGGGTTTAGTTTTCGGGTTTAGGGTTATGTCCGAAGCACTTAGCCCACAAAGGCTTGGCTGCAAACCCTGCACTGCACCGCCCTCTTACTTGAACCCCAAACCCCTAAGCTCTACTATAGGCTCTAAGCCCCTAAACCCCTAAACCCTAAACCCTAAACCCTAAACCCTAAACCCTAAACCCTAAACCTCAGCTGCTCGGTCTCCCCTTTCACCCAGGAGTGGCACCAGCAAGTGAGCAACGCCGACTGCAACCTGGAGTTCTTTCCAGCAGCCTGTGTGGTTTAGGGTTTGGGATTTAGGGTTTACTGTAGGGGTGTAGGGTTTAGGTGTTAGGGGTTTAGGGTTTAGGGTTTAGGGTTTAGGGTTTAGGGTTTAGGGTTTAGGGTTTAGGGTTTAGGGTGTAGGGTTTAGGGTTTAGGGTTTAGGGTGTAGGGTTCAGGGCTTAGGGCTGAAGGCTTTCAGGCTTGAGGGTTTGAGGGTTCAAGGTTAAGGGTCGATCTAGCCTGACCAAGAAGGGCTCCTGATTTGGATATTGTCGAATTCAGGCCGACAAAGCTCTTGGCCCATAAACCCAAAGCCCGCAGCCCAGGATCAATTCTCAAGAACCCACAAACCCAAACAGCCAAACGTCCCAAAACCAAAGCCCCAAACCCCAAACTCCCCAAAACCCAACACGGGCCGAAACACCCGGAACCCCAAGCCCCCAAAAGCCTGAACACGAAACCCGAAACCGTAAACACCAATTCCTAAAAACCCAAATCGTAAAAACCCTAACCCTCCCAATTCCGAAAAACCCAAACGACCCCAATACCTGACAAACCTAAACCTAAACCCTAAACCTAAACCACACCCTACACCCTACACCCTACACCCTACACCCTAAACCTCAAACCCTAAACCCTAAACCCTCAAGCCTAAACCCTAAACCCAAAACCCAAAACCCAAAACCCAAAACCCAAAACCCAAAACCCAAAACCCTAAACCCTAAACCCTAAACCCGACCCAAAACCCGAAACCCAAAAGCTTAAACCCTATGAGCCCTACAAGGCAAGAGCTTCGTTGGCATGCGGGGATGGGCTTCCTGGACCTGGAACCGCACGCTCTTCCCGGATCCTAACAGCCCCCTGGGCTTCGCCTTAAAAGGCTGAGGTAGGGTTTAGGGTTTAGCGTTGGGGGTTTAGGGTTTAGGGTTTGGGGTTTGGGGTTTAGGGTTAAGTGTAAACTCGAGTAACTTGGGCTGCCACACTGCGTTTCTGGTAACAGGGCGCCGATATTTCCGGAAACCCCCAACTCCATTCTGGTGACTGAGCTTAAGTTCCTCCACAGCTTGCCTTGACATCTTTCACGCTCTTGATGTTGCCGTAAGGGTCGAGGTTTATGTACACAGTTTACATTTCGGGGTTTGGGGTTTCCACCGCAAGAAAGCAATATTGTTTTCCTATCCATATTCCGGACCCTAAACCCTAAACCCTAAAGCCTAAACCCCAAACCCCAAACCCTAAACCCTAAACCCTAAACCCTAAACCCCAAACCCCAAACCCTAAACCCTAAACCCTAAACCCCAAACCTAAACCCCAAACCCCAAACCCCAAACCCTAAACCCTAAACCCCAAACCCTAAACCCCAAACCCTAAACCCTAAACCCTAAACCCCAAACCTAAACCCCAAACCCTAAACCCCAAACCCTAAACCCTAAACCCTAAACCCTAAACCCTAAACCCTAAACCCTAAACCCTAAACCCGAGACCCCAAACCGTGAACCTTGAAGCCCCCACCCTCAAGCCGAGCAGGGCAACCTCGTTGCAGCTCCTCCCCCTGGTTCTTAGTAGGGAATGAGGGAATTGGGGCCAAACAGTACTCCCTGAAAGGGTAGATATATATGTATATATATATATATAATATCTAATCCCTTTAAAGGGTATAGATACATCTAGGGCCCTAGATAATCCCTTTACAGGGTATATATAGGGGCCCTACCCAATGCCTTGTACATTTGGCGCCCTACATCATCCCTTAAGGCAGATATATAGGGCCCTACATAATCCCTTAAAGGGTATATCTAGGGCCCTACTTCCTTCATTCCCTACTAAGAATCAGCCAGTCCTAAGATCAATCCAGGCTTCGCCTCCTGGCTGCACGCCGGGAACACGTCGGACTCTTATGGTCATCCTCTGAAGTTGCCTGGATCTGAATCTAGGTCGGCCCCTTGGGATTATGGCATATGCTCCCGTAATTTGGGTTTAAGAGGATTCTAGGAATCTTTTCAGAGGGTTGTATGGGCCATCCAAAGAAACTATGTTTCTTTCTTTGGTTTTTGTGCTTTGGGTTGTGGGCCTCTATTCTGCAACTGTTAGGAATCTTTTTTCAGAGATGGTTTCAAAGGCCATCCAAAGGAATTTGGCTTCTTTCTTAAGTTTTCGCGCTTCGGGCTTGGGTTTCTTCCTTTCTGGTCGGGCTATGGTTCCCGCGCCTCCTGTCAAAGCCCTCAAACCTCCCCTAAATCAAGCCCGAAGCCCTGAAGCCTAAACCCCGAAACCCTAAACCCTATAACCCTAAACCCGAATCCCAAAACCCTAAACCCGAACCCTAAACCCTAAACCCTAAACCCTAAACCCTAGACCCTAAACCCTAAACCCTAAACCCTAAACCCTAAACCCTAAACCCTAAACCATCTCAAACCCAGGCTGGCACTGAACCTGCACCCGGATGCGCCGTTTACGCACTGCGAAGCGATGTACGAAGCCTTTGCTGCAGCTCTTGGTCTGGACCCGGGCAGCAGACAGGATATCAAGCTGGATTACTTCAACCAGACAGCTGCCTGGTGTGGCTACAGAAAGTCTTTTTGGATTTTAGTCGTTATCGGAATTTATAAGCTTTTTAGGGGTTATCGGGTTTAAAGGGTTTAAAAGGTTTGGGCTTGAAAGGTTCAAAGGGTTTATAGGGTCTAAAGGCTTTAAAGGGCTTGGGCATCTTCAGGGCCGTAGCTGCGCGAATCCTTGAGGTGATGATGGCCTTGGCGAACGTCGTGATGCCCACGCTGCACGCCGACTTCCTGTGGATGGACTCGCCAACAGTTACCACATGGAAGAACGGGTTCTATGATAAGGTGCTTGGGATGTCTCCCATTAGACTAACAGTCCCTAATAGGGCCGGAGTATAGTACTCCCCTATTAGAATCCCTATTAGGGAGTGCTAGTACAAGGGGGAACATCCCAACAAGGTGCTGCTAAAGCAGGGCAGACGCCCACTGGTTCTCTCGCGATATGGCGGCTGGGGAAACCAGCGATATCCGATAGGCTTCTCGGGCGACACGCGAAGAGTCTGGGACACACTGCACTACCTGGTGTACTTCACTCCGACGGCGGCAAACGTTGGCTTCGGGTACTGGAGCCATGATATAGGTTGGGACTCCCCTAAATGGTAGTCGCCTTTGTAGGCATCCTTTTGTTCGTAGTGGCCATGTCGTATATCACAAGGCATCTTACAAGTAGTCAAAGGTTAGAGTCCATCACAGGTGGGTTCGCCACCGGTACCTCCTCTGACCACTTGGGCGAGAGTCCCGAACTCAACCTGCGCTTTACCCAGTTCGGTGTCTTTTCCCCCGTGTTCCGGTCTCACTGCCGCTACTGCGACCAGCGCATCTGGATTCCGGAGCTGAGCTCGGTCTACGCGCAGCTGAAGAAGGCGCACCTGCGCCGGAACGCGCTGGTGCCATACATCTACACGGCAGCCCATGAAGCCGAAGCCACGGGCGTGTCGATTGCGCACCCCTGCTACTTTGCAGACCCTGCCGGCAAGCATCCCCAGACGTACGATGGTAGCTTCGCCTTCCAGTATTTCTTTGGTGCTGATCTGGTCGTGGCCCCAATTACGCGACCTGTGGATCCGATTTCCGGCGCTGTTTTCAAAGATGTGTGGCTGCCACCTGTATCCTCTGGCAGATGGGTTCGCTGGAACTCATCCGGCACTGTCAGCGCGGATGCAGTAGTAGCGTCTGGAGAGGTGTTCACTTTGGAGGACGTGCCCGTGTGGGTCCGCGCCGGTGCTGTAATCCCGACCCGCAACATGCAGTCCGTGAGCCGCCCGGCAGCCGACCCCTTGATCTGGCAGCTGTGGCACGGAGGGGTCATGCGTGGCGGAGGCAAGGTCGTTGAGGACGACGGGGAGACCATGGCATACTCAAGAGGCCAGAAGGCCGAAGTCGTGGCGTCCTATGCCTGCGCCTCAGCTGCGTGCACATCCGTGAACGTCACGATCGGCGCGCCCGAGGGCTCCTTCGAAGGCCAGCCCAAGATGCGGTCGCAGCAGGTGGCGATCGCAGCGTGGACCGGGCAGGCACCGCGGCATGTGGCGGTCAACGGGAAAGTTCTGGCGCCTTCGCCCGCGCAGGAGTCACCGGGCTTCTGGATCCTGCAGCCGACGCCCGACGGCGTGAATCCGGTGATGCTGGTGGTCGATGTGGGTCCACAGCGGTATTCGGACGCAGTTCAGGTCGAGATCGTTAGCGAGCCCTTCACGCTGTTGACCGTGTGAAAAAAGAGGAGTGGGTCAAACCCCAGCTTACTAGGTAGGCACTTGGTAGGTTTTATTATATTTTCCTTTACTGAGAAGCTTTTTTCGCGGAATCCCCTTCTACTAGCAGTCCTCATTGGGGGGTACTATAATCCCTATTAAGGACTGTTAGTTTAAGGGGGAATTTCGAACTGTATAGGGAGAATGATACCCCAAGAAGGTCAAAGGATACCTGCTCTACTGCTAAGTTTAGCATGTCAGTCGGGTCACTCCGTAGGGCTTAGGGTTCAGGGTTTAGGGTTTAGGCTTTAGGCTTTAGGGCTTTTGGGGTTTAGGGTTTAGGGTTCAGGCTTCTCTTAGGAGCGCGAGCCTTCGGCGCCCGTAAGATCCCTGAAGCCTACATCATCGGAGGCCGAGAGGCCCTAAAGGGTCGCTCATCCCAAGTCTGAAAGCTTCACTCTTAGTTCCCCTAGGACCCCTAGGATACTGGACAACGAAGTACATAGAGCGTCGTAACATCAGCACCTTTCCCCTGCATGTCCTCCGAAACGGCCACTCGCTGTAGACCGTCTGTCCAGGCAAGGCACGTTAGAAAGCGACTCCTTCCTTCTCGTGGCGCATTGGGGATGTTCAGGCAGCCAGAGTTACGCTTGCCTTCGTTGTTGTTGCTTTGATGTTCGCCTAGTCAGCACGATGTTTGCTCCCGAGTTTCTCTTTGGCCTTTTCGTCACTTCGTCAGCATGCTGCTTGCTTCCAAGTTTCTCTTTGGCCTGTGGCAGCGCCTGGCTCAAGAGCATGATGCTGAACATCCGCCAGCACCCGAAAGCATCGAATCGTCAAGCATTCGCACGGCACAGAGGCTTAGGACATGCAGGGGCGTTCCCTGCAGCATTCAGGCACAGGGGTTTAGGGTTTAGGGTTTGTGTCCAAGCAAGACTTAGATGCTTGGTCCTCTTGAAGATCTTGGCGCCCTTCATTTGCAACTCCAGCTTGCGTGTGTCGCGACTCCATCTTTCTGAGGCCACTCGAAACACTTCAGCCAGCTGCCTCGGCCACAAACCCCAAAATCCCTCAGCTAACTTGCCTCTAATCCCCAAGGCCAGCTGCAAGCTTGCAGTCTTTAGGGTTTAGGGTTTAGGGTTTAGGGTTTAGGGTTTAGGGTTTAGGGATCACGGCGCCTGCTGTCTGGCGGCTTTCCGGATGCTGCGCCCGTAGGCCGTGCTCTTGGTTTTTGCGGTGTTGTCGGGTTTCATCAATGTTGAGGGTTCAGGGTCTAGGGTTTAGGGGTTAGGGTTTAGGGTTTAGGGCTTAGGGCTTAGGGTTTAGGGTTTAGGGTTTAGGGTTTAGGGTTTAGGGTTTAAGGTATGGAGACCCTGAGCCCTGAACGCTATGGGGTTCAAATGTTTGGGATCCGCTGGGTATTCTGAGTTTCGGGGTTCGTCTCAGTTGGGTGTGCGTAGGGCTGCTGTTCAGGGGTTGGGGCTTGGTGTTTAGGGTTCAGGGGTTGGGGATTAGTTGGTATTAGTTTAGGGTTTAGGGTTTAGGGTATAGGGTTTAGGGTTTAGGGTTTAGGGTTTAGGGGCTCACGACGGCGCGCCGGCCAGTTTCGAAGGTCGGAGTTGGGGGAGTCGATGACTATGGCTTGGTGTTGCCACTCTTGCCGTCACAGTCTTGTGGTTTAGTGGGGTTTAGGGTTTAGGGTTTAGGGTTTAGGGTTTAGGGTTTAGGGTTTAGGGTTTAGGAACATGGCTTGGTTTTGCCACGCTTGGCCTGGACAACTTTTTGTGATTTCGGAAGTCAGTTTCTAGGGTTTAGGATTTAGGATTTAGGGTTTAGGATTTAGGAAACATGGCTTGGTTTGCCACACTTGGCTTTGACAACTTTTGTGGTGTAGGAAGTCAGGGTTTAGGGTTTAGGGTTAGGGTTTATAGGGTTTAAGGAGTCTCAGGTTAAGGGGTTTAAGGCATTTTGGGCTTAAGGGAATTCAGGTTTGTGCGGGCTTAAGGGCTTGGCAGCCTCAATCGTGAATCCTGCTGGAGCCAGTCCGAACTGCCGAGACCGGAAAGGCTTGCCTGCAGCCAAAACCCCCAAAGCCCCGACAACCCAGAAACCCTATATTAGGGTTTAGGGTTTAGGGTTTAGGGGTTTAGGGTTTAGGGGTTTAGGGGTTTAGGGGTTTAGGGGTTTAGGGGTTTAGGGGTTTAGGGGTTTAGGGGTTTAGGGGTTTAGGGGTTTAGGGTTTAGGGTTTAGGGTTTAGGGTGTAGGGGTACTCCAAACCTTATGTTTGATCCCACCCCTGTTCCAAGCGCAGGCGCTGCACGACTTCGTCGAACATGCCGAGGCATGCATGTGGGGGATCTGGTTCCGCAGTAGTAGAACCGTGGCTATGAACAAATTGTGGGACGGCTCCTAAACCGTTTACACCCTAAACCTATAGGCTCCACCCAAAAGGCGTTGATCTAAAACAGGTTGCCTGTTTGGGTCTCTCTTTATGTACATATTCCTCTCCTGTTTGGAAAAAGTTCCCGCAAGACAAGCCACCATGTGGGTTTAGGGTCTTGCTAGAAGCACCCATGCTCGAACGATGTGTCGCCCAAAGTTCTGGGCCCTAAACCTTTACTTAGCCCTAGACTATAAACCCTCAACCCTAAACCCTAAACCCTAAACCCTCAACCCTCAACCCTCAACCCTCAACCCTCAACCCTCAACCCTCAACCCTCAACCCTAAACCCTATACTAGACATTTCCACCTTACAAGCCCAAAGCCTCAAGGGCGCAACACCTTACGCCAGGCGCTCGCGCAGTCGGCGGAAGCGCTCGAGGCCGCCTCCTTTGGGGTTTCGGGTTTAGGGTTAGGGTTTAGGGTTTAGGGTTTAGGGTTTAGGGTTTAGGGTTTAGGGTTTAGGGTTTAGGGTTTAGGGTTTAGGGTTTAGGGTTTAGGGTTTAGGGTTTAGGGTTTAGGGTTCAGGGTTCAGGGTTTAGGGTTTAGGGCTAAGGATTTAGGGTTTTAGGATTTCGGAGGTTTTAGGGTTATACGGTTCAAGGAAGTTATAGGGTTTCGGGTTAGGGTGTTAGGGTTTTAGGGTTTAGGGTTTAGGGCGAAGAATTTAGGGTTTTAGGATTTAGGGGGTATTAGGGTTATACGGTTATAGGAAATAACAGGGTTTCGGGTTAGGGTTTTAGGGTTTAGGGTTTAGGGTTTAGGGTTTAGGGTTTAGGGCTAAGGATTTAGGGTTTTAGAATTTAGGGGGTTTTAGGGTTCTACTCTTATGGGGTTTAGGTTTTACGGTTCTAGGGTTTCGGGTTAGGCTTGTAGGGTTTTAGGGTTTCAGGGTTTTAGGGCTTTGGGGTTTTCGGGTTGTAGGGTTTTAGGGTTTTAGGGTTTTAGGGCTTTAGAGCTTTAGGGTTTTAGGGTTTTAGGGTTTTCGGGTTTTAGGGTTTTAGGGTTCAGGGTTTAGAGTTAGGGTTTTAGGGTTTTGGGGTGATAGGGTTTAGGGTTAGTCTAGCTAAAGTTTTGGGGTTTAGGGTTTAGGGTTTTAGGGTTTAGAGTTTAGGGAGCAGGGTCAGGGCTTAGGGGGGCTTAGTTCTCCAGCCTCCTATGGGGGGAATTACAGACTCAGGGTTTAGGGTGACGGGCTTAAGGAGCTTCAGGGTTCGGGGCTTCTAAAAACCTCCTTGGGAACCAAGGAATGTCGTGCCATGTCTTGTATGTTGAACACGCACGGGGTCGCTTGTGGGCGGTTGAGGGCCCGCAACCCTAAACCCTAAACCCTAAACCCTAAACCCTAAACCCTAAACCCTAAACCCTAAACCCTAAACCCTAAACCCTAAACCCTAAACCCTAAACCCTAAACCCTAACCTTAAACCCTAAACCCTAAACCCTAAAC